TTTTTATCCCGCCTATTTTATCTAGATTAGACTTGCCGAGATAATAATATGCACAAAAACAAGACAGAGTAAAACAAAGCAACAAAAGAAAACAAAACAACAACAAAAAACCAATCACCAAAAAAAGAAATGCCTGTAAATAGTTCAAGGTCTGTTGGCCTTTAGGAGTGTTTTCTGGTTGGGTCTGATGGGGTGCCATGCCCTGGCCCCAAAGTTTATTTTTGGTATTCCCTCAGGACTTCCTTGCTCTGCTCCCCTTGCTGTTCTGTTGCACACCTTTAGTGTTTTGCTTTGGTGTGGTGGGATCAGATCAAGTGGAATTCTCTCACTGTGTCTCCAGTGTTGTCCCCGTAGGGTCATGTGTCAGTGAGGGATGTTGTGTCTGGTAATGGGGCAGGCCATATGGTCCTCTCTGTGCATTGGCTGCTCTGCACGGGGATATTGTCCTCAAGGCTTGGTGGGCCAGGAAACCACTGACCTTGTGATCAGTTCCGTTTGTAGCCCATTCCTAACTGTTTAGGAGCAGCTAACAGCAAAGTCAGCAGTTTGAACCACCAGCCAGTTTGTGGGAGAAAGACGAGGCTTTCTATTCTAGTGAAGCATTACACTCTTGGAAACCCACAGTATAAGGTCACTGTGGGTTGACATTGACTCAGTGGCAGTGAATATAAGCTTCATTAGAGCAGATCTCAAATACTTTTAATTGAGTCCTGCTCCTTCTGGAGTCTGTCTGCTGTGTGCTCTGAGTGTTTCACGAGGTCTCTATTTTGGTTAGACAGAATTAGAATGTTTGCCAGTTAGCCTGTAGCACTTATTCCCTAAGGATCAGTAGTGGAACAATCTTTTGTATATATTATATGCTCTAATATCTCATTTGATCCCACCATAAACCAGTGAAGTAGGTAGTAAAATCTCTTTATAGGTGTGAAGGTCATGAGGTTCATGGAGTTCGGTTATGTGGCTTGCTTTTAGATAACTGAGCTGGGTTTTGACCATAACTGTTAAAAGCACCATAAAAACAGAAAGCCTTTTTTTTTTTTTTTTTTT